ATAAATTGGTTTTTCGAACTCGATCAGAGATGTCTATCAATGGGGCGGGGATAAAGAAGTCTTTTCCATTTCTATCTTCACGTCCAATTTTAATTTACATTCCCGTGAAATTCCCTAACAATCCCCCACATATTATAATTTCTAAGGATCGGGTTCCCTCCGAGGACAGTTTTTTTTTCATCGTTTTATACTTATATTTTTTTAATTTGTATTAAAAAAAATGTAATACATCGCAATAAATTCTACGAATTATGTACTAAGTATTCCACACGAAAATTTCAAAACTAGCAAACTACTGATTTTTACGTTCGTTTGAACACCTCTTTTCAGTCTGGTTTAACTCTATTATTCTTCACCAAAGATGTGCAAAATCTTTCCAAGAACATCATATTAAAATTTCATAACCTAACTCCTCTTAAACCTTCTAGATCTAGACAAAAATCGAGAACGAATGTATAAGATGATATAAGCTTGGATGTTGAAGCCATTGAACACATTTTGTGCTAATGTCAACCAGGGATTTGAAGACCGTGCATATTTATTAGCAGTCCTACCCTACGTGATATAAGTCATGCATGATTGGGTCGCTCTCCTCATAATCAAGTTTGGTTAGCTATAAGATTGCACGATCATCCCTAATTTAGAAAATAAGCTTAGTTTCCGTTAGACAATTTCATCGTTTCTTTGTTACAAGTTCATATCCTATCTAGCTGTTTTGATTCTAATATAGTCGGATGTCTTCTACATATATTGAAGAAGGGTCTCTTTTGCATTATCATCCAACTCGAGAGCATTCAATTTCAAAGCAAGGCCAAAATGATTGGACAAGAACGGAAAAATATTGTTTTAGTTTGTGTTTTTGTGTTGTTAACATTCAAGGCCTATTCGTCGTCTCTTTCAACCAATGGAAGGTGGATCGTCGAAGCCACAACAGGCCAACGTGTGAAGTTAATGTGCGTAAATTGGCCAGGGCACATGCAAGCCATGTTGATAGAGGGCCTTCATCTCAGGCCGCTTGATAATATCACCGCCTCGGTTGCAAAGTTGCATTTCAATTGTGTGCGTTTGACTTACTCAATCCACATGTTCACACGCCATGCCAACTTGACTGTTCAACAATCTTTTGAGAACTTCGATTTAAACGAGGCCATAGCCATAAACAATCCTTCTATATTGAACTTGACACTCGTTGAGGCATAAGAAACAATAGTTGATTCACTTGGTGTACATGGAATCATGGTAGTTTCGGACAATCATATAAGTCAACATAGATGGTGTTGTAGTGTTGATGATGGTAATGGCTTTTTGGAGATCGCTATTTCAATCCTCAAGAATGGCTACAAGGAATCCGTTTGGCAGCTCCAACCCTAAAGAGCAAATCCCAAGTGTCTTCGTTCTTTCTTTTTTCATTTTTTTTTCGGAGGCCGTTTTAAGAACTATTGAAATAGCAGTTTTACAATGATTAATGCAACAATGTTTAAACCTAAATTTCCTCAATGTAGTATTTCAATTTATAACTTATCATTGTTTTATACGGTATTTTGACCATTTGCACGGCAATGTATATGTAAAGGGTGATAGCAATGAGCCTAAGAAACGAACCACGAGAACCGAACCAAAATGTGGCGATGTGGTATCAATACATGGGCCAAGGAGCAAAGCTTATTCACCAAATTAACCCAAATGCTTTAGTAGTGATTTTCTGGACTAAGCTACGACACCGGACTCAGCTTCTTGAAGAACAAATCCATGGCGTTCAACTTGGACAACAAGCTTGTATTTGAGGCTCATTTGTACTCCTTCACAAACAACATGTGTGAGCTTTGGATGTCGGAGCCATTAAACACGTTTTGTGCTAGTGTCAACCAAGGATTTGAAGACCAAGCATTTCTTGTGATAGGACAAAACTCAATGCCACTGTTTGTGAGTGAATTTGGGATCGACCAAACAGGCGTAAACGAGGGTCAAAATCGATTTTTGAGCTGTTTTTCTACATATCTAACTGAGAATGATTTCGATTGGGGCTTACGGGGTTTACCAGGTGGTTACTACTACAAGGAAGGTGTGAAAAATGCCAAAGAACCCTTTGGCGTCTTAAATTCCAATTTTACACGTGCCGAAAACCCTAAATTTTTTAAGAGGTTTCAGCTTTTGCAAACCAAACTTCAAGGTATAAGTTCTTAAGCTATTACTTACTCACTTTTTTACCCCTATTTTCTTAAATTATTTTGCATTTTTGCTCCTTACTAATTCAAGTATCAAACAACCGTTGCTCTCAACACAGATCCAAATTCAAATATTGACAACATCGTTCATAATATACCATCCTTCGAGTGGTGAATGTGTGCGAATGAACAAAAAACATCAACTAACGATCGGTAGTTGTAAGACTTCTAATCGTTGGAACCATGAAGAAGACGATGCACCAATTAGGTTGGCAGGATCTATATTGTGTTTAAAAGCCATCGGAGATGGGCTCTATCCAATTCTCTCCCGAGATTGCTCAAGCAGACAGAGTGCTTGGAAATACGCTTCAAGTACGAAGCTTCAACTAGCCACCATTGATGAACAAGGACAAGTCTTGTGCTTGCAAACTCCTTCTCGTTCTCGTCTAATTGTGACTAACAAATGCATGTGTCTGTCTGAATGACTCTCAATGTCAAGGAGACCCACAAAACCAATGGTTCAAGCTTGTTCCATCTAATGTATTTCGTAATTAATCAAGTCATTGAAGCATTGGTCAATGTACGATAAGGGAATATGAATAATTGTTAATTCTTTGTACTCCATCAATGTCCTAGTTGTTTGTCGCTATTTGCTAGCTTAGCCTCGTTTTCTAAACCATTTTCACAAACAAGGAGGCCAAATCATGGGTCATTTGTGCCACGAGCAACTCGATTTTTATCTGGCTGACACACTCGAGTGTGAGTGTAAGTACTGCACAATCACTCTGTGAGTCTCGAAATAGTTCAACTGTGATAGTTGGTACCAAAGTCAAGTTGGCTCGCAGTTGAGCACGTCTCAGGTCGATCACCATGAAACTCTCGAGACATTTTTTATGATTCTAACTTGAAGTTATGCCATACGAACTAAAACATCGTAATTACAAACGATACCCTTGAGCCTATAATCAGAACCAACAAAAACAAATAATAATTAACAAACCCTTAAAATCAAATCCTGTTCTTCCTCTATTGGCAAGCGAGATTTTGGACGCCATGGGAGCTCAAATTCAAGCTCATAGTACATTTCAACATAGAAACTTTCTTCTCCTTAAACAATTTCAACAAACGAACCCTTCCCTTAAACTCCGCGATGCAGCTCATATTCATCGTCTTCAGCATCGCCAAGTCATGGCTGAAGTAATCCACGTCAACAAAGCTCGAATTGGGTTTCACTTTCACCGTAAAGTTCGCATTTTTATTACTCTTCGCATTTACCGACACCGTTTTCACCTCGCCGATTCCGACAGCCACGCCGTAGTAAATCAATGTCGTGTTCGTTACTTCCTCGTACTTGAACTCCCCGAAATTGGGATTTTCCATTGTGATTTCGGCGATTAATGTGGCGTCCATAAAAGGGGTCGGTGAAAAGCCGTAGTGGAGATTTTTTACCGTGACGGAGGTTAATTTCACTGTCGGGGTTTTTACCCGGACGACGACAAGGCCGAGAATCAAAGCGGCGATGCAGGCAACAGCGGCAATCGCAAAGAGGTAAATGCAGAAGGTGTTGATGCATTTCTCTGATGCTTTGCGCCTTGATCGGAGTGTGGCCGGTCGGTCGTTGGGAGGTTCGCCGGCCGCCATTGATTCCGGCTGGAGAAGGAGGGGTTTTGATGTGGCTGTAAAGGGAATGGTTTTATAGAAGGAAGTGGAATGGGGTGTGATAAATTGGGTGTTTTTAATGAAACAAAACGGTGGTTTTAATTTATTTGCTGTAATTTTAAGCGTTTTCTTTGGACGTTTCAAAGCTTCTTATTTTTTATTTTTTATTTAGCACTAAATTATGTGTCTTTAATGGGATTTCATTGTCCAATTCTCCTACTTGGCTCACTTTACCCACTGGTACTTGAGACTCAGACAGCCCAAACTCTTAGAGGGCGGCCAATGACGTGTGGAGGTAGAGGGTCTCTCGACTCTTAGAGGGCGGCCAATGACGTGTGGGAGGTAGAAGGTCTGGGTCGTGAACTTTTTCTAGAGAAGACATTGAGATGGAGACACTGCCCAGATTCCCACGAGAGGCTGCAATGGGGAATTTTTCACAATGGGCGAAAGCCTGATAGAACAATGTTGCATGAAGGTAAGCAATGTTGCATAAAAGGCCTACAGGTCGTGAACTTCTTTTTCAGAGAAGAAACAATTAACGGTATATTCGTCTGATGGAGCAATGTCACGTGGAGATAAAAGGTGGACACGTAAAATTCTTTTGTCAAAAAAGCTTATAGGTTGTGAGCATAATAAATAAAAAATTAATCCCCACAAATAAAAATTTAACATAAATTATATATATATATATATATATATATATATATATATATATAAAAGACTAAATTGAGCATGTGAAAGTAGGAGGAGGTTGATGTATAATTTTCTCATAAATTAATTAATTAATCCAAAAAGATTTGAAATAATATGTAAATAATTGAAACTACGACACCTATTGTCAAAAAAAATGAAGTAAATTAAATGTAAATTAATTAATCTACTTCATTATTGCAATTATACAATATTTCATAATACTCCATAACTTACACAATATTACATTTATTACCCATACAAGTTTTCCCCAAAATATAATAATTATAACTAAATTCCTTAACCGCATAGCTTTAAAAAAAAAATCAAATTAAAATATGTATATATATTATATGAAATAATAAAGCATAAGAGTCTTATTTACATTAGAAAACCTCCAAAATTGTAAGAAAAATAAAATAAAATTAATTTAAGAATTCAATAACTAATTGGGCCCATGGAGTTCATGGATTCCGATACTGATGGCTACTCGCAAACCCAATTATGCTGAATTTGATGAGTATTCAAATCCAGGATCATGGAACAGCTAATCTCCGACGAGGCCCTCCGCCGGAAAATATGAATCAATCGGACTCTGCCTCTTAAATTCGCGAAGCTACTCAGATTCAACAGCCGGGAATTGTTGTAATCGGCGCTGATGTTGTTGGCGGAAGCTTGGACGGTGACATTCATGGTTTTGGTTCCCTTGGCTTTGGCTCTGCCGGCGCCGGTAGTGCTCTGGCCGACGATGGCACCGGCGTAGATGAAACCGACAGAGGCGTAGTCGAAATTGAAGGGGCCGAAGTTGGAATTGTCGACGGCGAGTTGGGCGGTGACGGTGAGGTTAAGGGAGGGAGAAGAGGAATTGGTGTTGGAGAGGGAGAATTTGGCGACGGAGAGAGAGGAGAAGTGGAGAGCAGGGGAATTGACGCGGAGGACGATGAGAGCGAAGATTAAAACGGCGACGGAGAGGAAGACGAAGGCGGAGAAGACGTAGATGAAGCACTTGTTGGAGCGTTCCTTTTGGAGGGCTTTGAATGTGGTGAGGTGTCGGCGTTGTTCTTCGTCGGATTTGTGGTGAGCTTTGTAGTGCGCTATTGGGAAGCTCTGGCTGTCGTCCGCCATTGTTGGACGGAATTTCTTGTTCTTGTTGCAGAGAAGAACAGGAAGAAGAAGAAGGGTTTTGGTAATTGGGCTTTGGAGAGAGAAAGAGAGGAATTTATAGGGAGGAGAGAGAAGAACGGTTAGACAGAATGGGAATCGGAGAGGTCAGTTTTGGAATGCGCCGGCGGAGGTCTGTTTTGTGGGTTTAGGTTATTTAAGTGAGGTTTTATGGTTTTGAATTCATTCGGATTTGGTCAAACATATTATATTATATTATATTAAATAATAAAAAAGTTCACGACCTATTAGACATAAAATTAAAAATTTAATATCAATTTCAATCAAATATAAATATAAATATAAATATTTTTAATTAAACCAATTGGAATATATCGTTTAATTAGTATAATAAAGTTATTAATGAATATATATATATATATATATATTATAAGTAAAGGTATTTACCCAAAATGGGAAAAAAATATAGAATTTTTGGAATTAAAAAAATAAAGAAATTTGTAGTTTGTAAGAAATATCTAAGAAAAAGAAAAGGAAATATGAAAATATCTTCACCGAAAGTGTTCCAATTCAGCCTATCAAAATCCTCGGCGTTTAATGATAGAAACTGTCAAAACACAAAATTTAAAGCATTTAATTTTATTAAATGACGTGTTTCAATAAGTCATTCCAAATTAATAATTAAAAAATAATATATTTTTATTTTTTTTCTTTCACAGAATATCCTAAATGGCCTTCCTCCCTGATCCTGAAGTCGGTGTGCTTATTTTATTTTAATTTATTTCATTTCATAATTATTTTTTTATGATTTGTTTTTCAATTTTAAATAAATAAATCGACTAACGAAAACCAATTTAATCTAAAATTTTATAATTGAGTTAAATTAAGTTCATTGTTTAAGCATAATTATCAATCTAATCCACTGACACTATGAACAGAGCCACGTGTTAGACATGGTGACGGCATCGCCACATCACATGCCAACTAAGAAGCCGGGATGAGGGAATTGACCTCAAATACGGTAACTTTTTGATAATGGGACTTTTTAAGTAAAAGAAAAGCACAACAAATAAGACTGAAGAATTAATGGAACTTTTCGTTTTTCATAGGAAAAATCAATAAACACGGTTTCTTCTATTTTCAAATTTTGTATTCGAATTTCCAACTTCTGAACCTACCAAAGAGAAGAACGCATTTATTTATAAAACTCTCATGAGTAGCGTGTGCTCGAACATAACCAGCCAGCTCATATGACCCAACCCAATTTGACCATCTATGCTCGATCATAGAACCATTGGCCAAAGAAGCTTTTGTTGAATCAACTAGTTCACATCCTATTTATATTTTTTATTATTATTTTAAAGTAGTTACTTACTGTTATATTATTTTAAAATGTAAAAAGTTATGCACTATGAACTCCTTTGAACTGTGACATGCATTATTGGACTAAAAATATTAGTATATGTATAGTCGTGTCTTTTTCTAATAGGATAATATAAAGGAATTCTCCATTTAATCTAAAAATTTAATTAAAAATTTTAATTACAACCCTCGCTTTTACTTGGAATGTTCTAGATTTTATTCTGGTCAAACGTCTAATCTTTTCGTGGATTGCTAAGTGCTTTATGCTCAAAGGCACCTTTTTTTCCTCGGTTTCTTCCTTTTCCTGCTAGGTTCGAAGAAATTTATAGCTTAGACTTCGCCCTTGTCGTAAGGTGTGGGGGTCATATCAAGATATAAACAGCTGTAGCTAAATGTTCAAAGAACAAACCTTTCCTTTGATGCTTAGCAAAATATCTAGAAGGTTGAAAATTCTTTTGCTACCATTTCATTATCAATTTGAAGCATACGGGAGACGAACATTATTTCAGGTGGGGGCCATAATTGTGATTTACATTTACAAATTATTGCTTGTATTTATTCTAAATAAATGAATCAAATCGGAAACTCTCCACTAATGATAATCCAAGAACACCACTAATAGATATTGTCTCTTTTAGCCGGTTATGTATCGTCGTCAGCCTCATGGTCTTAAAACGTATTTGTTGGAGAGAGGTTTTCACACCATTATAAGGAATGTTTCATTCTCGACGTGGGATCTTACAATCCATCCCTCTTAGGGCACAGTGTCCTCACTAGCACATCGCTTGGTGTCTGACACTTGTACCATTTGTAACAGTCTAAACACACCACTAACAGATATTGTCCGTTTTAATCTGTTACGTATTGGTTTTAAAACGTGTATGCTAGGAAGAGGTTTTCACACTGTTATAAAGAATATTTCATTCTCACATAGGAGTTTGGAAAAGAAAGCGGTTAAGGATAGCCAATCCTATTCCAACTTCCACCACTAACTAAAAGCATTAGCACTCTAGCTTTCTGGATTTCAAAGTTGGCTCCTATCGCCCACCACCCAATCACCTTCCAATTGGGTCAGCATCAACCAACCAGTTCATTGCAGCTGTACCACAATTGGGCCTCCTAACATCATGACATCACTGATCCATTACCAAAATGGCTCGTACTAACGAAAATGTATTCTATACTTATAAATCCATGATCAACCTCTTAATTAGCCAATGTGAGACTTCTCTCCCAACGACCCACAAAAATCCTCCTTTCGAACAAAATATACCATAGAGTCTCTCTTGAAGCCTATGGAGCTCTTGAATAGCCTTACCTTAATCGAGATTCGACTCCTTCTTTGGAGCCCTGGAACAAAGTACACCATTTGTTTGACACTTTAGTCACTTTTGACTACACATTCAAGGATAACAATTTCTTTGTTTAACATTTGAGGATTCTATTGACATGACTAAGTTAAAAGCATGGCTCACGACTCTCCACAATAGTATGATATTGTCCACTTGAACATAAACTCTCATGATTTTGCTTTTGGTTTCCCCAAAAGGGGTCGGGTAAGTAAAATGTGTGCTCCAAAAATATGAATTAAAACAAAGGTCAAACTCTAGTATATCAGAAAATTGATTAGATAGTTGAAATTTACCCTGGTGCGAGAAACAATATCCATCCCGTTCTTTGCGTGAGTTAGTGCTTGAACCATCGTGATGAGGGCTGATCTAGCGTCTCCTTCCTCGTACACACTGGTCAGATAGTTGTGCATCTCAATGACGCCCTAAGTTTCAAGTCACGAAGTTTATAAAAAAACGAATCCATGTAGACATGACAATCTAATTGAAATTCTATATTACCCTTTGATCCATCTCAGCCACTTCATTCATGACCCCTTTGAAGGGATTTTAAGATGAACATACCATTAACTGGTGTTTCACGAGCTTCAACAAATACCCTCTTTAATTCTTGTGTCCAATCACCCACTCAGATAGAGCCTCATGAGGCCTATGGAGCCCTCAAACAGCCTCCCCTTAATCAAGGTTTCGAACAAAGTACACCTTTTATTCGACACTTGAATCACTTTTGACTACATCTTCGAGACTCACAACTTCTTTATTCGACATTTGAGGATTCTATTAATATGGCTAAGTTAAAAGTATGGCTCTAATACCATGTTAGGAATCACGATTCTTCATAATAGTATGATATTGTTTACTTTGAGCATAAGCTCTCATGACTTTGGTTTGGAGTTCTCCAAGGTTCTCCAAAAGGCCTCATACCAATGGAGATGTATTCCTTACTTATAAACCCATGATCATTAGCCAATGGTGGAAGGCAAAGAAATTTGAAGTCTAGTCTTGAACATTTAAGCATGAAATTGGAGCAAGGGCCATTATGTGGCAGTGTCGGTAAGTATTATCAGAAACCTTGAGGAGTCGAACACTGTAGAAGCCTGAGCGGAAGAATCTCAGGGTTCTTTCCCCAGCATAGAGTAAAAGTGGGATACCAAGATACATCCAAGTCTGCATGTAAATATCAATACCTCAGAAGACATTTCTAGTTCGTGCAAAATAAATTACCTATTCAAGCCAAATAGACAAAGTATTAGTAGGGAAGTATCATCACTCTTACCGTCTTACAGTACCATCTGTTCTCAAGATAAAGGAAGATGCCATGAATGACGAGCAAAACGTAAACAATGCCAAACAGGTGGTGCGAATACCAGAAGGCATTGAAACCAGTCAGCCTATCAAATGGCTTGGGCAGCTGAATCAGGCTCCTTCTAAACCATCGGGTAGCTAGAGTGAATGCTACTGCCATGAAGATGACCATTAGTATGCCAGTCACAGCTTCCCACCCCTTAACCAAATCTAAGTAGCTAGGCTTGTCTGGTCCAAAGTAACCCTTCACATAATTATAGCTTTGATCAGATGTCTGTACGAGTCTTGGAAAATCACAGGCAAGGTGGCTCCCTACATGGAGAATGACACCAACTCCAATGGATGCGGCTATCGTCTGCAGGTGAATTAAATAATCATGGCTTAATTTAAAGGAACCCACGAGGTTGACCACTAAAGTTAATGTCTTCCTAAATAAAAGCCAAGCAAATGTGTGGTTAGTTTGCACCTTGTGGAAATTGATATTGTCGTCAAAGAGTACAAAATATCCCAGCCTGGTAGACCTTATCCAAGTGATGGTATTTCTACATACGGGCAGCAAAATGGTCTCAGCTGCACCCTTAGCCGTAAGGAGACAGTAATCCATGACCTTGGAGGCTTGCCTCTGCTTGTACAGGAAGAACTTCCACATGAAAAGGCCAACCAAGATCATGGCCCATAATGTCAGCACCCATATTCTCCTCCAATTCTCCTGCAAATAGTAGAGTAGTTTTGTTCTTATCCTTGTTATGGGGCCTTTGTTCCTTAATCCCCGTATGTTCTGGCTCAATGCTCTGCTTGTATAGCTGAGGGCTTGACTGTTGTTCCGGTACGTGTCCTTCTGTAGCAAAAGGGCTTCCAAATGCCACAGCTGCACCACCGTAATCACCAAAAAAAAAAAAAAAAAAAATTGTAAATTCATATTTAAAAGAAAATTAGTGAATCATTTATCAAGTCTCTCATTTCTACTTCTTATTAACTCATAAAAACTAAATCTATGGTTAAATTAAAAGTTTTTATTATTAAACTTTTCGTGTCTATTTGATTTTTGAACTTTAGAAATTCGTCCCTAAATTTTAATTTTGTCGGATAAATTCTTGAATTTTTAATTTTTGTGTAATATGTCTATAGTCCATTTTAAGTAGATTCAAAATCACCCGTTCACTAAATACAAAATTGAAAATTCAAGATTCTATTTGAACAAATAGATAAGATACTTTCTTGAAATTTTAAATACATCATATATTTATTATACATAAAATTCAAAGTCGATAGATTCATTGCATTCTAATTGGCTTGCATGTAAGTAAAAAAAAAAAAAAAAAAAAGCTTTGTTAGAAATATGCAGCAGAGAGGAACCAACCTCGATGTAGCCCAGTCTTTCAGGGTCCAGCTCCTCCATGATGAGGGCCGCATATTCCTCTGCATGTTCCTTTAGCGTCAGTAGCTTGTTTGCCGAAGCACTCAGCAATATAATCTAAAAGAAATAAAGTAAATTAGATTAATATTTATTGTGACCAAAAAGTCCCCACCAACCCCCCTTAAAATATTGGAAAATATTGTTTGGAATGGTCATTTTAAAATAACTTTTTTTTTCCTATGCTAATTTCTTTAGAAAAAATGTAAATGATGGTTTATAATAACGAAAATGACACTCTGTTGGCCAAACCAAGAGTATTAGGCTAATGCAAAGAATATGAAGGCCACCTTTCCTTTTCCTTCCAAGGAGGGAAAGAGAGTCAGTCATCTTCTTCTAGAAAAATAAAATTAAAAAAATAGAATCATAATCATATGAGAATCTTGACGTGGAGTAGGCCAATTTGTCTGAATATACAGTAATTAATATTTAATTTAATCGCATCACGTTGATTATGCTAAATCCATGCAGCTTTTATACCACAAAAATGGAGACAAAAACCTTTCTCACCGCCCACTAAATCAAATTATTAAAGTTTAAATCTTACTTTCGCTAATGAAATTTTCAACCCATTGGTTTAATCTCTCTGTATTTTTAAATGTTTTATTTTATTAAATAAATTACAAATTTAATTTTGTGTTTAATAGACATCACGCCTTAAAAAATATATAATAACTTCTTGAACTTGTATTCTTATCTTATAGTATTTGAGATTTCAAACTTATGTCTAACAAGTTCTAATATTTTACTACGAAATATACAATAGGAGGCATAAAATATTTGTTAGATAAGTGTTCATATGTCCCGTCCGGCAACTACTGGCTGGCTGTCGACAAGGAGGAGGCAACTAGCGATGCCAGCTTCTGAAAGATTATATGATTTGAATAAAGATTTCCTTCCAAGACTAGTTTTTCAAGTGATTTCGTTCCATTACATTAATGAATTTGGCTGGAAAGACTACACCTAATATCTTTTATCAACCCTTCCCTTTTGAATAATAATAAGGTTAGCTTGGGTTCCAAACTCATATTCTTTGTTTGCATTCAAAGGTCTTGTACTGAGCTATCCAGTCAAGTTCTCCAAATCATCTAGACTATCCAACCCTAGATTAGATTTTTTATTTTTTTAGAATTTATAAATATAGAAAAAATAGAATCAGGGTTTGAATTTTTTTAGTTGAGTCAATTTGACCCATCCAAAATAGGTTTCACTCTTACCCTATTTTTAAGATCATTAAAAAATTAAGAATATTTAATATTTCTAACTTAAATTGGTGAATGTTTAATATACAATGTTTAATATACTAAAATGTAATAGGTATATTAGATAACTGTATTTTTCTTAGAAAAAATTTACCTCAACTCTAGTATATATCATATTATCAAATATAAAATAAAAAATTTATTTAGAGACTTTTAAAATGAAACTACGGTCTAAAATTTATAATGGTACACAAACTTAAAATTCATATAAAGGGAGTTAAAATTGCAAGTAAATTTACCTCTTTGACTTCTTCTTCGGTAATTCGGCCGTCTTCGTTTTTATCGACCCTGTTAAAAAAAAATGGACATCGGTAAAAATACGAAAATTGAAATTAAAAAAATAAATGGCAACTGTGAAACGACGGGAGTCGGTTTCATTTCTTGGTAGTGACGGTGTCGTTTTCTGTTCTTGCTTTTCGGCTTACGGAAAAATAATTTCCATGAACTTAAAGAGATGGATGATAATGGTATACATGTCGAAGAAGATCTGCAGTCGCGAATCGAAACTTTGATCGGTAATTTGTGACCAGAACTCAAAGAGTTCGTCTCTGCTGATTTTTTCGATCTTCAATCTTCGTCTTCGACTCAGAGCATCGAACAGTTCCTGAGCAAACTCCTTTGAATCTTTCATTCCTAGCAAACGGAAAGGAAATTAAGAATTTGATGACCTAGAATTTTCCAGAGCGAAGAAAATGTTGGAAGAGACGAAAATCTAATTTGCGGAGAAAGAGAGATCGGCAAGAAAAGGTTTCAGAACCTATGCAGTGAGCGAAATCAGAGCGGTAGAGGACTCCATCCTTGGAGAGCTTATCGAAATTGCTCTGGATTTCATTCCAGGCGTCGACGTCATTGATCTTACTACTGATGAATCTCAGGCCGGGAAGCGCTTTACAAGCACCGGAACGAGTGCGATCAAGCTGAACTTGCCGTTTCCTTAGAGCTCGAGCGGCCAACGCCGAGTCAAATCCATTTCCGGATTCGGTAGAATGTCCATTGCTCCAGGAAACCCGCTTCAACTCGGCCTTCAGCGCCTGCGAAAACTGCCTCGCCTTAGCAACCGCTTCCGCCTTCAGTTCCTGCGAAAATAGACGCAACAGATTGGACGAGCTCCGTTTAACCGTCGGCGATCTCGACATCGAAGCAGACTTCGGAGTTTCAGATCCTACAGAGGCGGCGTTATCGATGTTGATAACCGTAGCCGGGTCAACGCTGCGTAGGATGATTCTATCATCGTTCTGTAGATCGACAGTGACCTTGACAAACACCTCCGCCGCACTCGCTTCCGTTCCCGAAGACGATCCTGCGTTCATCTTCGCATTTCCAGGAACCGTATCCGACGCCCACCGCCGCTCGTGCTTCGTAGCCCCCCTCATTAATCCACCAACCAAAATGCAATAACCAAAACTATTCTTCCAACAACTTCACACAAAAAAAAAAAAAAAAAAAAAAAAAAAAAAAAAAAAAAAAAAAAAAAAAAAAAAAAAAAAAAAAAAAAAAAAAAAAAAAAAAAA